AAAAAATTTAAGGATCACAGTATATCTGAGAGTCGTGTAAACACTTTCAGATCGAAATATTTCGATGGTGCTATCGAAATCTTCAATCGGATAAAACTCAGAAAAAAAAAAAAAAAAAAATGAAAACAGAGAATGTGTTTTTGTTATATATGAACAGCACCCAAATTACAGCATATATCTGATCAATAAAACTGTAGTTCGGTTATAATTGCCAAAGCAGTTATCAACCACCAAACAGTTCAATAAAACCTCCATCGATCAGCAGCTAAGTCAATCTATTACACTTAAATAACATTGGTGACAAAATCACCAACATATATATATATATATATATATATATATATATATATATAGGGAGAGGTTCATTTGAGAAATGATAATTGTTTGAGAATTAAAGAATTGATCATAACTCTTTATACGGTCAAGATTGGTCAAAAAAAGGGCTTTAATTGGTCAAAGATTACGACTTTGATTGGTCTATATTGTGGCTTTGACTGGTCAAACGAAAAATTGAGGGATAGTTTCATAACAAGTGCATACGTGAACCACACAGATTCATATGTGAATCAGTTAATTAGTTCATATGTGAATTACATGATTTCACATATGAACATATGCACATGAGTTCATATGTGAATCGCATGAGTTCACATATACACTAATTAACTGATTAACATATGAATTTGTGTGGTTCACATATACACTTATGGGTTTAGGGTTTACATACACTTGTTTTGCCACTTATTTATAAAAATTACAAAATTACCTCTCTATCTTTTGCATACCATGCGAGGAATTATCTAGTGCTCCATAGTTAAAACCGCAAATCTTGACCATATCGAAGTACTAGTATCACGAATCTACTTCTCAAATATTTACCACTTTTTAAATGAACCTATGGTTATATAAACACACACACATACACACTATTATCTATACTATATTATAAATCATTTGACAAAAACTCTTAAAAGCCATTTTTTATGCATAAAGTACTGTTTATTAATGCATATTACTTACAACTCAAGATTACAAGTAGATTGTGCGTAAGTATAACTTATTAAAACTTCATATTTAAAACTCGTGTAACTAACTGCAGATGAACATAACCAAATATTTGATAAACATCTCATTTTAAATATAAAAAATCTAAAATATAATTAAGATAATCGTTGATTTCTAACAGACTACTCTAGTATATGCCATAAAGAATTTGTTGGTACGAGTGACGTCTTGAAAAAGTTGTGAACTTATCGTCATATCACGCCTCACGTCATTTAGAACTTTGGTCTTAAATCAAGGTTTTCTTTTTATGGTCAAACTGTAATTAATAAATTTAAAGATAATTCAAATTATAATATAATGATAATTAAGGAAAATAATTTGTAACATTAGACCAATAATTAATGAGTAAAAAAGGTTATTGTTCTTACCAATTACTCAATTTAATCTTATATATCCAAATAAATACATATTTATCTTATCCACAAATTATATATAACCAATAAATCATAACCAATTAATTAAGGGGCCGTTTACCAAACACTTACTCGGATAAGCGTTTACCAAGTAACATTACCTCACCGGATGAATATATGGTAAGAACCAAGAATCTTACCACGGTAAGCGCTTACCGGGTAAATTATTGCATACTAGGTCGTTTTGGTGAACTAAAATCTTAACAGGTAAGTAAATAATAATGTTAAATTTTACCGATAAGCACTTACTGGGTAAGTATTTGGTAAACGACCACTAAAATAATTATAGAAATTATGAGAGTTTATTTATTGTGATTTACATATTTATAGAAGATTATTAAGATTCATTTATTATAATCAACGTATTATATTAGAAAACAATTGAAATATTCATTGAATCATATATTTATTAGACTAGATTAACGGTTAAGATTGATTTGTATAATTTGTACTAATGGTTGAGTTTGTAAATGAAACCATCGCTATGTATATACATGAGTACGGGTCTTTACGGTCTGGTTTAGGGAGTTTTACCTCTCAGACAACAAATCAAACCATAATGGGGGTTTATAAAATTATCAAACTGAGCGGTCTAACATCAAGTGTTTAGACCGGTCAAATCGGACCACAAAAAAGCGATTTGTTTTGACCGATTTAGGCGGTTTAGGCCCTTTATGACTTTAAAATTGAAACTTAAAAAACATATATAATTTATAATTTTAAATTAGGGACAAAATTTGGGTCATAAGTTAAAAAAGTTGGGCTATAATATATATATAGGGCCTATTCAAAGGAGAACTGAGTTGTTTGTGGTAACTATGAGAACCAATATTAAC